GCATATAAAAGTTATGTTTACACTGTGCTGTAGTCTATTAAGTGTGCAAAAGCATTATGTCTAAAAAAAACAATGTACATACCTCAATTAAAAATACCTTATTGCTGGCAGCCAGTTAGCTCAGTTGGTTAGAGCACAGTGTTCACAACACCAAGGTTGCCGGTTCGATACCCTTGCCATCCACAACTAGATTGAAACAACTACTTGAGTTGGAGCTGATGGGTCCTGGAAAAAACACTGTTCCCCAATAAAATTTTTAAAAAGTACTTTATTGCTAAAAAATGCTAACCATTACCTGAGCCTTCAGCGAGTCCTAATCTTTTTGCTGGTAGAGGGTCTTGTCTCAATGTCAATGAAAACGCAATATCTGCCAAGTGCAATAAAGTGAAGTGCAATAAAATGAGGTATGCCTGTAGTGGAATGTCACTGCTCTTAGAGCAGAAGACCAAATCAAATGCAGTTTTTGGGAAATCATCTAATTTCTTCAAGTTTCTCCATCCCATTGTCTGTCAAATAGACCCAATCCCCATTTCTTAGTGGTGATGAGAGAATTGATTGAAATCACACTGGAAAATGTGGACACATAGTAGTGGCTCAACAATATTTGTTGAATGCCAATCTGGTTTATGAAGGCTAGATAATATACTTATTCTCATTGTAATGTTTACATAACCTTGGTTTATGCACATAAATTACATATAAATAGGACTTGAATACGTTCTAAGCCAATGAAACTATTGAAATAAGGTCGCTCAGAAATGATTTCTATGTTATAAGTGGACATTTCCTGGTCACTATTTCCCAGAAACTCTCAGCTCTTTAGTTTTGGGTATATTCGCACAAATTCTGGTTTTAAGAATAAAGAAATGAATGACACGCCAACCATTCACAAATCACTAAAATTATGTTTAAAAATAGGGTCTAGTCAGGGCCGGCCAAGTGGCTCAGTTGGTTAAGAGCTCGCTCAAGAGTGTGAGCTCTGAACAACAGCAGTTCGATGCCCGGCCTGAGCTGAGTTGCCGCTGAGCTGCCAACAGGTGGCAGGATGGTTCAGCTGAAAAAAAAAAGGGTCTAGTCCATAAATCTAAAAACAACAGACTCACAGCTCAGGTTTCCTGTGGAAGGCTGAATAATGCCTCCCCTCCTCCACCTGTCCCCAAAGATGTCCACATCCTAATCCCTGGAACCTGTGACTGTTACCTTATATGGTAAAATGGACTTGGCAGATGTGATCAAATTAAGGATTTTGAGATGGGGAGATTATCCTGGATTATCTGGGTGAGCCTGGTATAATTTGAGGGGTTCTTCTTAGAGGGAGGAAGATGATTAAGAGTCAGAGAAAAGGCCAGGTGACAAAGGAAGAAGAGATTGGAGTGATGTGGTCACAAGCCAAGGAGTGTTGGCAAACTCTAAAAGCTGTATGAGGGCCGGCCATGTGGCCCGTTGGTTAAGAGTTGGCTTGGAACATCAGCTCTGAGCAGCAGGGCCCCTGTTCGGATCCTACATGGGCCAGTGACTCTGCGCCCTCTACAGCTAAGATGATGAACAACAGCTCGACCTGGAGCTGGGCTGCCGTGAGTCGCCGACAATGGCGTAGGCTGCAGCGGGCTGCTATGAGCTACTGTGAGTGGCTGGCAGCCAGCGTTACCGGCTGGCAGCAGGCGTGAGTGGCCGTCCAGAGGCTGGCGAGCGATCTGCCTCACCTGGGAAGAGCGCAATGATCACAATACCAACATGGGCCAGTGAAGTGATGTCCTCCACAAGTAGACTAAAGAACAAAAGGACAGCAATTTGTCTGTTCCCCTTCCCCCGATTCCCCAATAAAATCTTTTTTAAAAAAAGACTCAGATTTGGGGAAAAAAAAAGCTGTATGAGAAAAGGAAGCCATTTTCCCCTGGAGCCTTGAGGGGAAGCCAGCCTTGCCAACACCTTAATGTTAGTCCTATAAGACTCACTTTGGACTTCTGATCTCCAGAACTGTAAGGGAATAAATTTGTGTTATTTTAAGCCACTCAGTTTGTTGTAAATTGTTACAATGGCATTTCCTTAACAGGACTGTGAGAAGATTCAATTCTCTATGTAGGGTGTGGTTTGCAGAAAGCAGGCCTCTCCCCATGCATGCAGACCCTCTGCATAAACCCGATCATTCCTTCATGTCTCACATTATTTGTACTTGAATTCAATAGAGAAAAAAATGTATAGCAGAAATATAAGTAGGGAGTTGCTCCAAACTTGAATCTCCAGCAAAGTTAATATATTTATCTTATGTGCCCAAGGCAAAAAGATGCCAGGTTTAGGGCCTGGAACACTGGAGGTGGACTTCAGATCAATAAATGTTTTAGGCCGACACTGCTCAATAGAAAAATAACAGCCGCATATGGCATTTCAAATTGCCTAGTAGCCACATTTTTAAAAATATGAAATGGATGAAATCCATTTTAGTAACATATTTTATCTAATATCTACAACATGATCATTTCAACATGTACTTACATAAAATGATTAGTGAGATCTTTTATGTTCTTTTTTTCATACAAAGTCTTCAAAATCCAATGTGTATTTTACACTTATAGCACATCTCCACTTGGATTGGCCATATTTCAGGTACTAATGGCGACAAGGGGCTAGTGACTACTGTATTTACTGTATTAGACGAAGTAGGTCTAGAGTACCTAAATCGTCCCAATGCCCAAAGGCATAAAAAAGTCTAAGGTTCAAGCCAAATTCTGATGCTTAAGATCATAGAAATGCATGCTGTTAATGGTTTATTCATTTGATGAGTATTCATTGTCTACTATGTGCTCAGCACCATTTAAGAGGCATATAATTTTCTACGTCACTAAAATTATGGTGCATTGTTTCAATGAAAAAAACAACTGGTGCTTATATTAAAAATCTCTCTCTATAGCAGTGACGATTTTTGCTGTAAGTTGTGAAACCTCAGGAAGTAACCAGTAGACAGACTTTTCTGCAGTGAATGCCGTGACTTTTCTGTTACTGTGTCGCCTGTAACTCAGAGTCTGGAGCTGATTAAACATGGTTCTGGGCAGTTCCTGAAGAGCTGACCACTTGACATTTCCAAGCATGTTGCAGATAATAAACACACCACTCATGAACCTGATACAGTGTAAAGAAACCAAGTTTCACATCTTGAAAACTGCATAATCCTGATGCGAGTTCTGCATTTTAATATTCTTTGGTTTATTGGGGGGCTTTTTGGCTTTTCATTTAATTTGGTGGCACTTTGAAAGCGATGCTCCTGGAGCTAGCAATCTCATTTCCAAAGAGCACTTGGTCTTCCTTAAGGGGGCTTTCTAGCAATACAAGAAGCTCCAATGTTCCAGGACAATATGATTATGAGCAAATGACATCTGCTCACATTTTTGATCACGAAAAGGAAATTGAAACTTGTGACCATACATTCTAAGAACCTGGTATGAGGTTTTCTCTCTTTGAACTTCAAAATCCCTTAATACTGTGGTAGACTCTGATGAAAGGACTTTTTTCTGTAAGTCACAGAAAGAAGAAGCCTGTACCACACCAAGGCTCTCAGCCTGCTCTCCCCAGGAATTGTCCACTAAAAAGTCTCAATAGCACAGTGATTCTCACTCAGTGGCAGGTGACTCTGCGCCCACCCCAGGGGACCTTGAGCAATGTCTGGAGACATTTTTTGGTTGTCACAACTTGGGGAGGTTGCTAGTGGCATCTAGTGGGTAGAAGCCACAGTTGCTGCTGCTAAAAATCCTACAATGAACAGAGCAGTTCCCACCCCCCAAATAATTGTCCAGCACAGCCCCAAAGGTCAATAGTGCCACAGTGGAGAAGCCTGCTACCTCAGAAAGCAAGATATCACAGGCAGGGAAGCAGGAAACCTTTCCCAATGAGTGATTCCCCAAAGGCTGCCCTAATGAGTGACAAAGAGCAGGGACTCTGGGCCAGACCGCTTGGGTTTCAGTGCTGGGGCCATGGCCTACTGGCTGTGCCTCCTTGGGCAAGTTATGCCACCTCTCTGTGCCTCATTTTTCTCCTCTACAACAGGGAGGTGATAATAATAGCACCTTCCACACAGAGCAGTTATGGGTGTGAAATGGGTCAGTAGTCCTAAAGTGTTTAGAACAGTGCCAGACCTACCTACAGCAAGCACTATAGGAGCGTGAATTTACTAAGTGGCTTTGCAGATCTCTGCAAAATCGAAGTTTCAGGGGGCGGCCGGTTAGCTCAGGTGGTTAGAGCACAGGCTCATAACACCAAGGTTGCCGGTTGGATTTCCACATGGGCCACTGAGTTGCGCCCTCCACAACTAGATTGAAACAACTACTTGACTTGGAGCTGATGGGTCCTGGAAAAACACACTGTTCCCCAATAAAATTTCTTTTAAAAAATCCACGAAGTTTCAGGGCTTAGAAAAGTTTATGGGCCGTAAAGAAATGGCTTTACATTCTGAATTGCCATAGCAAGAAGCATGAGTCGACTTCATTTGACAACCATGCCCTTTCTTTCCAGTTCATCAACCCTAATCAGAAAGCCAGTGAGGAGAGGGACCACCTTCACGGCAGGCCAGCCCACTGACAGTAAACACTTAGTTCCAGTTGTGTCACCCCAGTTTCTTTCCCTCCTTCCCCAGCAAAGCTAATGACTGACAATCAGCTGGCACACTTCGGACAGGGCGGAAAACGCAGAACGGCACAGGCACGGAAGCCACCCATCTCCCCAAAGACAGACCCTCACACACCTGGCCCCACAGTAGATGTTTGCAGACTGCCAAGCCAGAACGCAGCCACGGGGCTGCGCGCAGAGCCTCCCTTCTCCAGGAACCCACGGGTCACGGCCAGGTGGGGTGCCGTGGAAGCAAAGCCCGTGGGTGCCGCGGATCTGGCGTCCCTGTTAAATTCCGTCTCAGTGCGCGCACACCCACAGAGGTGTCGGGAAGGGCGGGGGACCAAGAGAAGGGGCCCAATGGGGGAGCTCAGGCGCGGGGCGATCGCCAGCCACACACTCACCTGGACGCGTTACCTAATCCACCTGCCACCCAGGGGAGCAGCAGCGGGAGCGCGAGGGCCCAGGCTGGCGGCATCTTGGAGCGGGGCTTTGCCTTGGCCTTCTGCTCCTCCTCCTGCCCCCCGGGAGGGCGCGGGACCTGGACACGGCGGGGCCGCTGCCTCCGCTCTCCTCGGCTGCTCGGGGCCTCTGCTCCTCCAGGTGCGGTCCCCGCGGGTGGGAAGGGGAGGCCGGCCCCACAGCTGGAGTGCTTGCGGCCTTGGGAGAGGAGGGGGCGCCCTGGCAAGGCGCTCCACGGTTCCTCTGCCGGTGAAGCGGGCCGGGTGCGCGAGGGAGGGCGGGCCAGCCGTGCACATCTGGCTGGGACCCGCCTCCAGCACCACCCGCGCATCCTCCGCGCTCCGTTCACTGAGAACCTTCCCCCAGACTCAGTTCACTTGACTCTCGTCAGTCACCGCGTATCGCCTTCTTTTTCAGGCATGGGACAGGTTTCGGTCATACCTGCACTCGAGGATTTAAGAATTTCGTTGAGAAATCAAAGCAGGAACCAAGGATGCTGGTTCAGAATGACACTTCCATGCTACTTCTGTTTAGGTTTTGTCCTAAACACTTTACTGGCATCATCTTCCTGACCCCACACCCCTTTTCTCATCTTACTCCTTTGTGGCTTCGGATGTCAAATGAGTCTCATGAATAAGGTAATAAGATGATTTCGTCAACGCCATTACCAAAACCTTTTGAACTCTTCATACCATAACTGGGTTTAGTTCCTGAAAATATTAAAATCGAAAGGAAAGAATATAAGGTATGAACTGTATACCTGCAAATACCTTAAAGCAAATGGTATATAAAATCTGTCTTGGTGAGGGTGTCCCTACAAGCAGACCCTGAGGCAAGGACTGGAGTGGCGGGAGTTTGTTCTGGAAGAGCAGAGAACACTGCTAGGGGACTGGAGGAGTAAACCTGGGAAGGGAAAGAAAATAACAGCAGGTGTGTAGCAAGTAATCATTGGGGGCAGGCACTTCGTGCTGGTGGGCAGCCCTCAGAGCCAGCCTGGAACACGCATCTCCACAGGCTCTCATTCCGAACCCCGGGGGGCTTTGGTATTTAGACACCATCTCCATTTGGTCATCGCCTGAAGGCTTCTACCACGGGGCTGACCCCAGGACTTCTGACTGCTGAGCTGAGGGCAGAGAAAATCCCACGGATGCCGACTGTTGAGGTGCCACTGGCATGATCCGGCCTGGGAGAAGTTGGGCAGGGCACCCCACGGGCTCCCACCTAATGCCTAGCAATTGAATTGAATGGAAAATTATGGTTTGGCCCATGCCACTTCTTCCTAAACATTCAGATCCAAATCACTCCTTCCTCCAAATACACCATCATTCAAAAATGTCATAATAAAACATGATTAGCCTAAAACACGGGGGCCACCCTGCTTTCTTAGCCCTGAGTTATAAAGGGCCAGAATAGCATCTTACAGAACGTTTATCTGTCACATTCTAGCTTTGGTTTCAGCATTTGGATGCTGTTTCTCCTTTTTGGTTTTTTCAGAGCCGACTTCCCTTCTGTAGGCTTAAAAGAGGTGATGAACATTGCAACAGGAAACTTCCAGAGGAAGTCAAGCTCTCCTTGGCCAGACCACCTCTTACTTCCAAAGATGCCAACAGATAGTATGAGGAACAGAGAAGTAACCTGGAAATGATGTGTGGCCAGGGTGGATGCAAATTGCCATGTAGATGCAGGTGTTTTTAATAACCACTCTGGCGTTGCTGACTCTGAAGAGAACTGCTCTTCAGGGGGCCCTACTCCGTTCTACAAAGCAAAAACTATCTTTGATCAGAACCTCAGAAAATCATCCACACCTTTTACATGGCTACATTCCTCCCCCCCGCCCCCCCATCTATTTCCACTTAGCCCCCTGCGTAGAACAGGTGTGATGGGATATTTTTGCGCTTTCTGAATATATACACAGAATACACATGTACAACTTTTAACAGGTGCCTGGCACTGAGATCCAAAAGTTATATTGAAATATCAGCACCAGAATCAAAGCACTGCCAGACGAAAGAGCTGGGTGGAAGAGTAGCTGGTTCAGAGTTTTCAAATTCAATACAAATTACTGGGGCGGGGGGAGTGAGGGGTTAAAGTATAGATTCTGATTGTGTAGCCCTGGAGTGAGGCCTGAGTTTTGACTACTAAAAAGACCCCAAGTGATACCCATGCTGTTTGTTTAAGAACCCCTTAGGGTGACAAGGGTCTAGAGATCACCTAGACCAGTAGTTCTCAAGTTCAGCTGGGAAGCTGTGAAACTACTGATGCCTGGGCCCCACCTCAAAAGATCCTCACGTCTGGACAATGGCTTGGGCGTGGGGACATGTTGAAACTCCTCAAAAGGTTCTATTGGAGAACCAAGATTGAGAACCACTGATCTGGACCAACTCCAACATTTGACAGATGGAAAAACTCAGCTCCAACGTGCGAAGCACCTTGCCCGAGGTCACACATAGGATGAGCTCATGTCTCTACGTTTCCATCACATAGTCCTCTCCCTCAGACTTCATGATGTTTTCTAGATCACCATTCCTACTGGACAAGAACGGCACCTCTTCTTAATCTTCTACATTTATCGTAGCCCAGTGGTGTTCTAGAAATTGATATGTTTTTCTAGTCTGTTTTTTTTCCATTCCTTCTTGTTTTATGAAAGGAGTCCATGAAGTGTAAGGTTCTCAATGCATACACTGCTACATTCTGTATGGGAAACTGTATCCTGAGATAGAAGCTGTTTTTTGTCATTCTGTGTCTGTCAAGGACACAGTTCTTAGAGCTCTGTGGTAGAAACAAAATCCCAACCACATTCAGTCTTCCTTCCCTTCCTTGCCCGCCTCCCTCCTTCCCTCTCTGTCCTCTCCCTCCAGTCTTGCTCACACATTTATCTGGAACCTACAGAATGCCAGGCCTTGTGCTAGGCAGTGGGGACTGCTTGGTGGAAATGTATCCACCAGATAGTTCCTGCTTCTTTTTTTCCTCCCTGGTGACCTGGGCTGGACAACTAACAAGGTTCTTAGAATGTCTGATCTTTAACTTAGTGAGTCCCACCTGTTGGGAAGAATCACTAAGGTGAGATTAAAAGAGAAAAAAATGACACCTTGATTCATTCTCCCCTCAAATTTTGCCAGCGCTTAGAACTCTCCACTGGCTCATGGAGGAAGAAAAAGAAATTGATATTTGTGAATGATTACTACATGCTAGACATTTTATAGAGAGTGATTATTTACTCTTGACAACATCTATAAGACAGGTATGATTACGCCATTTTACAGATGAGGAATGTGAGGTTTAGAGCAGTAAAATATCTCATCTAAGGTCACCTAACAACGTCATAGAAAGAACATGGATTTTGAAGTCAGATCTCACTGGAGATTAATTTTGCTGCAAGATTTCATTCTTCACAGCAGATTCATAACCTGGTGGTGGGGTGGGGTCAGTTCACCAGAAACAGTGAATAGCATTTTACATGTGGGGGGGAGTATGGCTTTCATCTGACTTTTAAGGGAGTCTGTGACTTCCTTTAAATGTTGTGACTATACAGAAAAATCCCCCTGCCGTGAATTAAATTTTATTGTCTGAATGTCAGCTCCCTTGATTTTTACCAAATTAATAAGTTTCCAACTTAAGGCATTCAATCATCAGGGGCTTTTCTTTTTGTCTCTATTGGGAGTAGGTATGGCTTGAGTCCATCCTGTATACTTCCTTCCTGCTCAATGTGTAAATATCCTTTGCTATTTTCCTGTTCACAATTGAATGTAATAATAACTTGGCATACCTCTGCAAGCCTTGTCTATTTATTTTTTCCTACATAAAGCCTATATAATGATTTGTGAGAACTAAACACAGGCAACTCCATTTAGATAGGCCTTAAAAATAGTCTCTTTCTCAAAGTCGCTCCAATTTAATTTGGGAAAGTTTGGTTCAGAAATGTTCCGTGGACTGTAAAAGTGGAACTACATGTGTGATCCTTTTCTTTGAAAGAAAATAGTGAAATTGCTAAAACAAATTCTTTTTCTTTCTTTCTTTTTTTTTTTAACATATATACCTCCCTCCCTATTTTCAAAAACTTCTCATACATGGTTTACAGACTCATTCATTCCTTTAACAAACAATTATTGTACCCACGCCAATCATGTGCTGGACACTGTGTTTGACTGGGATAAAAAGATGAATAAGACATAATCCCTTGCCCTCGGTAACGGAAATGTAAATATATTATCAGAATTAATGGCATAAGTGTTAACAGAAGTATTTCAGGGTGCTGTGAAAACAAGGAAGGAAGATGATAAATTTTTTGTGTTCTACACATGTGAATGTTTGACCTTGTTTTATCCCCTATTTTCATGAATCATTTTATGATTTTTAGATGGCAAGATTTTTAGAAAATAGAAAATCTTGTCAATTGTATTTGCTCAGATAACAACTTGCCCCAAACCACATCATCCTGACCCACAGCTCTTGGGTGAGGAGCATTGTTTGGTAAAGACAGCAAGACTGGAAATGAGGACAATCAGGATTTTGTTCAGGGTTCTACCAAGTAATTTCCTCAACTTGGGCAAGCCAATTCATCTCGTTAGGCCTCACTTTCTACATCTATAGCATGCTTGCAAAAGATTCTGAATCCTTACGTGTCTTTCTCCAAAGTTCCATGATTCTAACATTTTCTTTGGCAGGGAGATAGGAAAAAACACTCAACTATGACCCAAAAGACTGTATTTGAAATTGCAAAGTTGGGTTAATTTCAGCAAATAAAGAATCTTGACCCAATGAATAAATGGATGGATAAATGAGTGAATGAACTGTTTCTTCCATATTGTGGCTAAGATGCATCTGGCTTTGCTTCTGGCTCTGATTCCACACGTTCTGTGAGACCTTTTACGCACATACATGAATTTCTTGAGTGCCTACTTGGTGCCAGGCACCATGCTTAGGGTTGATGGTAGAAAATTCAGGATGTCTAGCATTAAGTAACATCAGTGTCCTCAATCACTCTGCCTACCTAAAAATCCACCACACATTTCCAAAATACCCTCAAGGGTCATACTGTCCTGTTGAGAAGCACTGGCCTCACATGATGGGGGCTTCATCGTATGGGCTATGGGAGCCACTGAGTGACTTTAAACAGGGCAGTGGCATGATACGTGATATGTGTATTCGACAGCACTTAGATTTCTGAAGAGAATGGATTGAAGACCAACATCAGAGGCTCAGGAAGCTAATGTGACAATCCAGGTACCAGACAACATGGATCTGCACTGCACAAAGGTAGCTGCAGCGATGATGGGGAGGAAGAGAACAGTTAGTAAGGGAAAAACAGAGGGAATAATCAAGAGCTTGGATGCTAGAGCCTGACAGTTTTGTGATCTTGGACCGTAGGACCATGGGCAAGTTGTATAGCCTCACTGTGTTGCCTCATCTTTAAAATAGGAGGTAACTGGGGCTGGCCCAGAGGCTCAGTTGGTGAAGAGCGTGAGTTCTGAACAACAGGGTCAATGGTTCGATTCCCACATGGGCCAGTGAGCTGCACCCGAGCTGAGCTGCCGCTGAGCTGTCAACAGATGGCAGAATGGCTCAGCTGGTAAGACCATGTGCTCCTAACAACAAGGTTGCTGGTTGGACTCCCACATGGGATGGTGGGCTACGCCCACCCGCAACTAAGA